CCTCTCTCTCCCTCTCTCTTCCTCCCTCCTTCCTTTCCTCCCTCCCTCCCTCCCTCCATTCTTCTCTTCCTCCTCTTCCCCTCTCCTGGTTCTGCGCTCAGGGCTGACCCCTTGCTCTGTGCTCAGGGCTTGCTCCTGGCTCTGTGCTCAGGGCTTGCTCCTGGCTCTGTGCTCAGGGCTTGCTCCTGGCTCTGTGCTCAGGGCTGACCCCTGGCTCTGTGCTCAGGGCTGACTCCTGGCTCTGTGCTCGGGGCTCGCTCCTGGCTCTGTGCTCGGGGCTCGCTCCTGGCTCTGTGCTCAGGGATGGCTCCTGGCTCTGTGCTCAGGGCTGACTCATGGCTCTGTGCTCAGGGCTGACTCCTGGCTCTGTGCTCAGGGCTGACCCCTGGCTCTGTGCTCAGGACTCGCTCCTGGCTCTGTGCTCAGGGCTAACTCCTGGCTCTGTGCTCAAGGATGGCTCCTGGCTATGGGCTCAGGACTGACTCCTGGCTCTGTGCTCAGGGCTCATTCCTGGCTCTGTGCTCAGGGCTCGCTCCTGGCGGATGCCAGAGATCAGATCCAAGAAGGGCCTTTGCAGGATGAGTGCTGCACCAGCTGGACTCCTGCTTGGGCCCCACACACTGTGTGGAGCAGGGAGAGCATCAGCAGGAAGAGCTCTTCCTCCTCGGCACCCCCTTCCTCCTCCTCAGGAGGGGCAGGCGTGGGTCAGAGCCGACGGGGGGAGCCGGAGCCCCAGACTCGAGGCTCCCTGGGTGCAGGGGCCGCCTTTACATCAGTTACTTTTATTCCCGGACCCTCAGCCGCAGGGAACCCCCTTCTCAAACCCAGTGCAGAGACTGGACCTCACTGTCGAGGTGCCCGCCACAGCCTGGGGCTCCGTGCCCTGGGGGCATTGGTCCTAGGGCCGCTGGAGGAAAGCGGGGAGCAGGGGAGCCCCGAGCTGAGCTGACCGGCCTGAGAGAACCTTTGACAGCTCACCCTGGAATCCCCCAGGGGGCATCTCTGGGACCCCTCCCTGACTGCCCCTCACCCTGCCCTGCCTCGGTCCTCCAGAAGCTCAAAGGGTGTCCCCTGGGCAGGACTGGCCTGCTGGCAACAGCGCGGGCAGCAGATGGGCCATCTGGCGAGGCGAGGGGCCGCGGGCAGGGGCAGGGCAGGGCCGCCGCTCGGGGCTCCCCCGGCAGAGATGGGCTTTCTGGGACCAATTAGCAGAACCAGCCTCCCCTGCTCGGCAGTGGCCAGCCCGCCTTCCTGACCTGCCCCTCTCAGCGTGGAACCAGCACCTGTCTGAGCCAATGTTTGTGTGTGAAAATGGTCATGGATGAATTAGGAAATTGGAGGGTGGGGGGGATCCTCCTTAGGGCCGGGCAGATGCTCAACGGAGCTTTGCACGCAGCAGAACCTGGTTTAATCTGCATTTCCCAGGTAGTGCCAGGGGTGCCCCCATTTCCCCCCAAGAAAGATTCTCTCTGGCACTGGAGAGCTAGCACAGGGAGAAGGTCAAGATGAGGTCAAGGTGGGGTCAAGGCACCATTCTTTTTTTTTTTTTTTTTGCTTTTTGGGTCACACCCGGCGATGCTCAGGGATCACTCCTGGCTTTGCACTCAGAAATCACTCCTGGCTGTGCTCAGGGGACCCTATGGGATGCTGGGAATCGAACCCCAGTCAGCCGCGTGCAAGGCAAACGCCCTCCCCGCTGTGCTATTGCTCCAGCCCCAAGGCACCGTTCTTTTGACCACAAGTCTATGGGGCCAGAGAGACAGTACAGGGGTAGGGCGCTGGCCTTGTACGGGCCACTAACCCGAATTTGATCCTCGACAGATATCCCATACAGGCCCCTGAGACTGCCAGGAAAGAACCCTGAGTGCAAAGCCAGGAGTAAGGCCTGAGCACTGCCAGGTGTGGCCCAAAAGAGAAAGGATGGAAGGGAGGGAGGGAGGGAGGAAGAGAGGGAGGGAGAGAGGGAGGGAGGGAGAGAGAGAGGGAAGGAGGGAGGAAGAAAAGAAGGGAGGAAAGAAGGAAGGAACGAAGGAAGGAACGGAGGGAAGGAAGGGGAGAGGGAGGGAAAGAGGGAAGGATAGAAGGAAAGGAGGAAGGAAGGAAAGAAGGATGGAAGGAAGGAAGGAAGCATGGAAGGAAAGAAGGAAAGAAGGAAGGGGAAAAGGAAGGAAGGAAGGAAGGAAGGAAGGAAGGAAGGAAGGAAGCTGAGATCTCTGTTCCACACCGGCTTCCATATTCTGGACTCTGAGTCCTGCTTCAGGGCCCGAGAGCTCCTGGGGTGTGTGAGGGACACACCCAGCAGGCCAGGGTGACCATGAGCGGCCACTGTCGGCTGGGCTGGGCCAGGGCCCAGCCTCCCTCTCCCGGCTGAGCAGTCGGCCAAGAAAACTATTGAACTACATAAAAATCCATCCTGGCGCTCCCAGAGGCCCCCTTAGGAGGCGCGTGGTCTTTAAATTAGAACGGAGGGGAAGAAAGAGGCAGATTTGCCTGGAAATGCATTTCAGCCGAGGAGGGAGAGCCAGTGCCCAGCCCCAGGCCGCCTCCCGCTCTGCCTGCCGGCCAGACCCTCCCAAAGCCGGCAGAACCTCTTGGGAAACCCACTTGGCAGAATCCTCTGGAAGATTCTGAAGAAACCTAGGCAGGTCCCCGCCTCTGTGTCGGGGGGTGGGGGGGCAGTTTCCCCAGCAAGTACAGAGAAGCGGCCGCAGGCGCATGGGGCAAACCGTCTAGAGTGCCCGACCAGGGAGGTGGGGGTCAGGGCGAGGAGGAGGGTCCCCAGGCGGGCGCTGAGGGCAGGGGAGAGAGGGCGGGAACGCAGAAGCCAGGGCAGGCCGGGAGAAGCTCCCCAGTGAGCGGGGCGACACCAGGCAAGACAGGAAGGAGGGGTATCAGGTGCTTGAGCCTGGGCCCCCCACAACAGCTGCCCTGCTGGCTTTAGGGGCGAGGGGCTTGAGGAAATGACTCGGAAGTCAGAAGCCCCAAGTTTGATCCCTCACTCCCCTCTGTCCCCCCCATGCTGGGCATGGCCCTGGCTACCGGGCACCAATGCCAGGCTTAGCTTCGGCCAGTCTGGTCTGGTTGGTTTCCAGGTCCCATTCATATGAAGCAGCACCCCACCCCCAGCCCTGGGCCCGCCCCCAGCCCCCTCTGCAAACCCCCTCCCCTCCAGCTCAGCAGAGCCGCACACCTTTCTGGAAGGGCCAGAAGGAAACACTCGGCTGCTCGGGACAGGAACGGGGTGGGGGGTGGCCCCCTCTGTCGCCCCAGGGCCCTGCGCCGTCCCAAACGGCCCACAAAGCTGGGCTCAGGTGGGCTTGGCTGGGGGCTGGAACTCTCAGGGTCACATGACCCCAAGGACCTACGGGGCTGGATTCGCTACTGGTCAGGACCTTGCTGTAGGGGACTCAGGGTCAGGTCTGCCCGGACCCCAGCTGCTCCCACCCCCATCTCAGGACCCGGGACGGGACAGTCGGGAATCCTGTCTGTCCAGTGTCCAGACACCAGGGAGGGTTCAGCCTGCCCCACTCGCTCCCCTCCCCCACCCCTGCCGCCTGCTCCCCTCACCTGGAACCAGGCTGCCAATGTCTGTGCTCCAAAGAGAGGGGACAGGCAGGTCCCCAGGGGCACAGGGAGGGAGACAGGACCCACACCAGGAGTCCAGGGACCGAGGCCAGAGCCCGGCAGCACGGCCGCGTCCAGCTCACTCCTGGCTCTGCCCTGGCCTCAGCGTCAGGCCTCTGGCCGGCTGGCGGGCATTGGGGGCTGGAGACTGTTCTCTGGAACCTTCCCAGGCCCCACCTCTCTCTCCCTGCGCAGCTCAGTTGTCTTGGAACCAAGCAGGCGGCTGGTGGCCGGCCTGGGTCCCCCGACTGATAGGCAGGGGCTGAGGGTGAGTGACTGACTGCCTGTCAGTCGGGAAAATGGGCTTCCGGTTTTCTGGGGGCGGGGGGCTGTGAGGGGAGGAGCCAGGCCCACTGGCCCAGCCATGGCGTCGGGATCCTGACCCTGCCACCTGAGCTTCTGCAACCCAGAGGAACCCTGCAGCCACCCAGGGGACCCCGGGCAGGAGGCAGAGCTGGGCAGGCCTCCCCCACCTGGGGCGAGACAGGCCAGCTGGGTTCACGGGCGGACGAACGGGCAGTCAAGGGTTGGAGCTGGTTCGGGGAGCAGGGGTGAGGAAGTGGGTCCTGCTTGGAGGAGTCGAGCGTTTGAGGTGCCAGTTCCTGCCTCCGTCAACCTGCCCCCGAGTAACCGGGTGTGGGGCCGGGGAGAGAGAACAGGGGTGGAAGGCCCTTGCTTGTATCTGGCTCACCCTGGCACCACGGAGGGTGTCCCAAGCACAACCAAGAGGAGTAATCCCTGAGCACAGCCAGGAGTGATCCCTGAGCATAGCCAGGAATGATCTCTGAGCACTGCCAGGAGTGATCCCTGAGCACCACCAGGAGTGATCCCTGAGCACTGCCAGGAGTGATCAATGAGCACCACCACCGCCAGGAGTAATCCCTGAACACTGCCAGGAGGAGTGATCCCTGAGCACAGCCAGGAGCAGCTCCCGGGCACAGCTGGGTGTTACCCCCAAAGGAAATCTCTCCTTCCTCACTGGCCTGCACAGACACTGCGCCCCAGCCCCCACCCCTCAGTCCCTGTACGCCCCCAGCTATGTCCCTGAGGCTGACACCCCACGCCTCCCACAACAGCGCCCTGCTCCCACTCCCAGTGACTGCTGGGCCCCGGCAGGAGAGGAACACCCAGCATCTGCAGGGTCCTGCTTTAATCACGACACCCAGCTCACGGTGAGACAGGTGTCCCCAGCCAGAATCTCGGGATGGGGGAGGGGCAGACACTGGCGGGGTGGCTGGGTCCAGGAGGGGGCCGGGGGCGGTCTAGGCAGAAGAGCCTTGGAAGGAAGGGGTGGGGCGCCCCGGCCCTCCCTGCCGGTCCCGGTCAAGTCCAGACGGAGGCTGCTCGGACAGTGGGTCCAGACCAGGGACGCTGTCCTAGAGATTCTCATAGACCAGGTTCAGATCACTGTCACTCTCGAGTCTGCGTGCTTTCACCTGCGGAATAGAAAGAAACGGGCATCGGGGTGATTATACAGTGGGTAGGTCCTGGCCTTGCATGAGGCCAACCTGGGTTCAATCCCTGGCACCCCACATGGTCCCCTGAAACCTGCCGGCAGGGATTCCTGAGCACTGTCCAGTGAGAAAGACAGATGAATGAAAAAAGAAGGGAGGGAGGGAGGGAGGGAGGGAGGAAGGAAGGAAGGAAGGAAGGAAGGGAGGGAGGAAGGGAGGAAGGGAAGGAGGGAGAAGGGAAGGAAGGAAGGAGGAAGGGAAGGAGGGAGAAGGGAAGGAAGGAAGGAGGAAGGGAGGGAGGGAAAGAAGGAAAAAAGGAAGAAGGAAGGAAGGAAGGAAGGAAAAAAGGAAGGAGAAGGAAGGAAGGAAGGAAGGAAGGAGGGAGGAAGGAAGGAAAAAAGGAAGGAAGGAAGGAAAAAAGGAAGGAAGGAGGAAGGAAGGAAAAAAGGAAGGAAGGAAGGAAGGAAGGAAGGAAGGAAGGAAGGAAGGAAGGAAAAAAGGAAGGAAGGAAGGAAGGAAGGAAGGAAGGGAGGGAGGGAGGGAGGGAGGGAGAAGGGAAGGAAGGAGGAAGGGAGGGAAAGAAGGAAAAAAGGAAGAAGAAGGAAGGAAGGAAGGAAGGAAGGGAGAGAGTGAGGGAAAGGGAGGAAGGGGAGCGAGAGCCTCTGAGACCCCATCTGAGTGGCTGTCCGGGGAGCTTGTGACCCTGTTCCGGAGGACCCAAGGGTTCTGAACCACTGAGATGTACCTCACCCTGCCCAGCACCCAGAGCCTGGCTCAGGACTGGGGCAGCACCCGAGACAGCCCAGCTATGCTTGGGGTGAGGGGTCCGGACCTGGGGTGTGAGCCCTGGGCTGAGAAGCCACTCATCCTCCAGCAGGGGAGAGGGCAGACACTGGCCGCGGGACTGGGTCCAGGAGGGGGCCAGGGGCGGCCAAGCAAGGAAGGGGTCGGGAAGGAAGGCCGTCTCCCCATGGCGGCTCTTGCCCGGGACCCTCACGCCTGCCAACCCCTCTCAGGCCTGCTGACACCCCTGGGATCCCTCCAGAGGCAGCAGGGGTCAAGCTTGGCCATCCGGACAGCCGCGGGCCCTGCCTGGGCACAGCTAGGACCCCACAGCGGCTGCCCGACTGGTCACTGTAGATGTGACTTGCCCAGGTGGCTGCCTTGGGTGGGTCTGCACGGAGTGGCCTGGGGCCACACTCAGCCCAGTGGCCAGTTCCCTGGGGACTGATCAGGGTCCATGGTGTCTCCCATTCAACAGCACACTGACCCCCTACCTGACCCCGGCCACCCCAGCCTCCCAGCTCACTGCCCGCCACGTACCTGGGGGAGGAGGTTCTGGGCGGGGGGTGGGCTGCTGGTCTGGCCCTGCAGACAGTCGTAGACCTCAGTGTCCTGGCGCTGGAGAGCCTGTGGAGAGGGGTCCCCACATCCGTCAGGACCCTTGTCACAGAGCCCTTGTCTCATCACCCCGCCGTGAGGGACTCCCAGACCCCCTCCCGAAGGCCCTCTCTCCCGTGTCAGGGGCGCCCCCCCACGCAGCCAGCCACACTTCCAGGCTCCCCGGGGACACCCCGACCCCCAGCAGCGTGAGCTCCGAGGATTCGAGACTTGGAGCTCTGCTTCTGTTTCTGGATTTTGTGCAGTTTTGTTGTTGTAGCGTCGGGGATCGAACTCAGGGCCTCACGCCCTGTGCTCTGCCACTGAGCTACTGGCATGCCTCATGCCTACCCCCGCCTGCCGAAGCCAGAGAAGATGGGATTCACCGCTTAGCCCTGCCAGATGCCAGCCAGGGCCGCCTCAGGGTCCCCTGTGCCTCAGTCCCCCGCATCCGGAAGCTGGGAATTATCACCCCGGGGGATCTGGAACGGGACCAGGGGATGGTGAGCAGCTCAGCAGTCAGGGCGGCTTAGCGCCACCTCTGGCCCTTGCCCTGGGTTGGAACCCTCTGCCGGGTCCCGCCTGGCACAGTCCCTGGGAGGGGAAGCGGGTACCTGGGGCTGGAGGAGCGCCCCCCCAGCCCCCCAGCCCCCTAGTCTCCCCGCGCTGCCCGCCCCAGGCACATCTCTTTCCCGCCCGTGCGTGTCGTCGGGATGCGGCTGGTTGCCAAGGAGGCGGTTTCCCTGGTAACAGGCGGGAGATCCAGGTGGTACTCAGAAGCCCGAGGAGGCAGGGAGGGGGCAGCGGGGCGTGAAAACCCGTGTGATAAACCGTTTGGCGCCCAGAGACCCTCCCTGCAAGGGTGTCACACACAGAGGTGGCAAGGGCCCAGCCCAGGAGCTCTGAGTCAGAGAGGAGGGGTGGAGGGGCCTCTTTCCAGGGCAGGGGATTTCTGAGGCGCGCTGTGGCCTGCCGGGGTCCTGTCCAGGGCAGCACACTGCCAGCCGGTCTGGCACTTGGCCCAGGGAACTTAGTGCCCCCTTCCTGCCCGGGCCCCAGGCCCAGCAAACAAGCTGTCCCCACGTTAGCCCAGAGAGGGGCCGCAGTGACACACGGCACTCAGCCCTCTTAGCCAGAGCCCAGCTGGGCTCCGTGTCAAACCAGGTGCTGGCATTGGCAGTGATGTGGCACTGTGCCCAGGGCCTGCAGGCCTCTGGCCCCCACTCTGGCCGCCAGTGTGATGTGGGGGCAAGGGGGTGACTGCTGGTCAGAGAAGCGTTGCTGAATCCTGACCGCTGGGCCGCACCTGCGTTGTGGGTGAGAAGGGCCTGCCCGCTGTGACCGGGAGCCACGGACGAGCCAGCCCCGGGCCCACTGGCCAGCCTGAACTGCCCTCAGCATGGCCTTCCAGAAAGCTCTCCGGGGGCAGGGCCAGGCCTGCTGGGCTGAGCTGAGCTGGTGGCTATACTGGCCTGGACTGACCATATCGGTCTGAGCTAGTCTGAACTGGTCTAAAGTGAGCTTTACTGGGCTGGGCTGGGCTGGGCTGGGTTGATCGGCCGGAGCTGGGCTGTTCTGGCACGTGGGTGAGAGGCTCTTAGCTCGGCTCAGCCGGCTTATGCCAGGTCAGACTGGTCTGGGGCAGGGTTTGGTACGAGCCCAGATGGCTTCTGGGGGACCCAGACCTGCCACGTCCCTTTCCTGCCTGTGGAACAGACAAATGTTCTTAGTCCAAGAGGCTGGACCTTGTCGGGGTGTCTTCTAGACCTCAGGGCCCAGAGTAGAAGTCACTGCCCTGTCTGAGCCCTAACTGGGTGCCCCGGGACAGGTCACCCTGTGCCCAGGACACGATGCTGGGCCCCAGGACCCATAACGGCACAGATACTGGGGCGGCGATTACGGGACAGCCAGGGCCAGAATCAGCAAGAGCCAGACGAGGTCTGACACCCATCACTCTGTAGGGGTCACTCTGTGGGGATCACTCTGCGGGGGTCACTGCAGGGATCACTCTATTGGTCTTCCTGCACCCCGGGCAGCCCCTGGGGTTCTCATGGCAGCCCCAGCTCCCCCTTCTGGACACCCCCATCCCTGCTGAGTCCTCCCTGTAAGCAGGCAGAGCGCCCACTGCCCGCGTCGTCCCTCCTTCACTCAGACCAGCCTGTGCCAGCCCCTCCCTCCCTTCTCCCCTCACCCCAGCGCGCTCTGCTTCTTAGAGGACTGAGACCCCCAGGCAGGGCAGAGAAGATCCCCTAGGCTAGGGGCCCTCCCCGGGAAGGGAGGCAGGAAGGGGGTGCTCCGACTAGCCCCAGAGGAGGGTCTCCCGTGGGGCACGCTGATGGATCGGACCCGAGGGGCAGACACAGGCAAGGAAAGGCACCGTCCTTAGCCGGGTGACCACAGGTTGGAGACAGCACGGAGCCAGAGGACAGCGGGAAAAGCACTTGGTTTGCACGTGGCCGAGCCAGGTTCAGTCCCTGGTACTCACTGAGCCCAGTCAGGAGAGATCCCTGAGCGCAGAGCCAGGAGCAAGCCCTGGGCACAGAGCTGGGAGTCAGCCCTGAGTACAGACAGTCGGGAGTAAACCTGAGAATAGAGCCGGGAGTGAGCCGTGAGCACAAAGCCAGGAACAAGCCCGGAGCGTGGAGCCAGGAGCGAGAACAAAGTCAAAAGTAATGCCTGAGCACAAAGCCAGGAGTAAACCCTGATCCCAGAGTCAGGAGCGAGCCCTGAGCACAGAGCCAGGAGTGAGCCCTGAGCACAGAGCCAGGAGCCAGCCCTGAGCACAGAGCCAGGAGCCAGCCCTGAGCACAGAGCCAGGGATCAGTCCCAAGCACAGAGCCAGGAGCAAGTCCTGAGCACAGAGCCAGGAGTCAGCCCCGAGGACAGAGCCCAGAGTGAGCCCTGAGCACTGCTGTGTGTAGCCCAACAACCTCCTCGGCCACTAGGAAGGACAGGCGTGAAGGGACAGAGCCGTTGCTGGAGACTGCAGAGACTGCAGAGGCCCACAGGCAGGAGAGCGTCGGGTTCCCAAGGCGGCTGTGAGGCCTCTGCGTGTCCAGCAGGTGCCCGGGCAGCAGATGCAAAGGGGGCGGACAGTCTCCTGACTTGGAGGCTCAGCGTGATCACCCCGGGAGGGGGAGGGAGAGGCAGAGAATGTTCCAGACCAGAGGTCAGCATTGAGAGGTTGGGTCACCGCGGGCTCCTGGGCAGGACACGGAGCAGGAGACTCAGGCCAGGGGTCACTGTGTGGACAGTCCCCACAGCCACAGGCAGCGTGTCGAGGTGGGACAGTGGGAGGCAGTCAGGGACCGCTGACCCAGGCAAGAACAGGAAACCCAAGGACTGACCGCTGGGCCTGATCTGAAGATCGCCAGACACCTTGAGAGGAGAGTTGGGGGAGGGAGCAGAAACCCTGAAGGGGGTGGGGTGCAGAATCAATCAGGGTCTGGCATTTCCCGTGGCAAAGGACCAGAGGAGGGGCTGGAGCGACAGCACAGTGGGGAGGGCGTTTGCCTTGCTCTCGGCTGACCCGGGTTCGATTCCCAGCATCCCATAGGGTCCCCTGAGCACTGCCAGGAGTAATTCCTGAGTGCATGAGCCAGGAGGAACCCCTGTGCATGGCCGAGTGTGATTCCCCCCCAAAAAAGGATCAGAGGGCCCCATAGAAATAGAAGAGAAAAATTAAGGGGGTCGGAGTGATAGTCCAGCGGGGAGGGCACTTGCCTTGCACATGGCCAACCTGGCTTCAATCCCTGGTACCCCATATGGTCCCCCGAGCCCCGCCAGTAGCAAGCCCTGAGCACTGTCAGGTGTGACCCCAAAACACAAAAACAAGAGGGGGGAGCATTTGGAAACTACTGCGGTATCAGATGGCAGGGCCCAGAGATGGTACAGCTGGTGAGGGACCTGCCTGGCATGCAGAAGGCCTGGCTGAACTCGCCCGCACCGTGTATGGTCCCCCGAGCACTGCCAGCGATCACCCCTGAGGACAGAACTCCCCCAGAACTACCCCCACCGCCCCCAAATAAAAAGTATGCAGTCAACACCAAAAGGAGCTGACCCCATCTCCAGCTGGAGGTGTCGGGCCGAGGGACGAAGCGGGGGACACAGAAATGAGAGATACGAAGAGGGAAAGGAAGAGACGAAACTCCTCCAACGGACAACACCCAAACAACCTGAGAGGGCCAAGCAGTAGCACAGCGGGGAGGGTGTTTGCTCTGCATGCGGCCAACCCAGGTTCAATCCCCGGCATCCCATAGGGTCCCACGAGCACCGCCAGGAGAGATTCCTGAGTGCAGAGCCAGGAGGAACCCCTGAGCATCGCCAGGTGGGACCCCAAAAGCCAAAAAATATATATAAAAAAGAAAACAACCTGAGAACGGGAAGGCCTAAGCCCCAGCATAAGCGTGCAAAGGAATTGCCAGAGAAACTATCAGAATTTGAGCGGGGGGACCTCCCTGTACTTCCGGAAGCCTGGGCAGTCACATTCACACTGTGAAGCCGCCACCCAGTTAAAAAGCCTACTTCAGGGCTGGAGCGATAGCACAGCAAGTAGGGCGTTTGCCTTGCACGCGGCCGAACCCGGTTCGATTCCCAGCATCCCATATGGTCCCCTGAGCACCGCCAGGAGTAACTCCTGAGTGCAGAGCCAGGAGTAACCCCTGTGCATCGCTGGATGTGACCCAAAAAGCAAAAAAAATAAAACAAAAACAAAAAAACACCTACTCCAGGGCTGGAGCAATAGCACAGCGGGGAGGGCATTTACTCTGCACGTGGTCAGCCCGAGTTCAACTCCCAGCATCCCATAGGGTCCCCCAAGCACCCGCCAGGAGTAATTCCTGAGTGCAGAGCCAGGAGCAACCCCTGAGCATCACCGGGTGTGACTCAATAGGAAAAAAAAAATTAAAAAAAAAAAAAAGCTACTCCAGCCTTAAGCTACTCCAGCCTGATAAAAAAAATGCTGGACACCCTGAATAAACACAATGGCCTCTTCTTAGCACCTGTATTGCAAACCCTAGTGCACAAAAGGGGAGAGAGAGAGAGAGAGAGAGAGAGAGAGAGAGAGAGAGACGGAGAGGGGGAGAGAGAGACGGAGAGGGGGAGAGGGGGAAAGAGAGAGGGAAAGAGAGGGAGAGAGGGAGAGAGAGAAGGAGAGAGGGAGAGAGAGGGAGAGAGGGAGAGAGAGAGGGAGAGAGAGAGAGATGGAGAGGGGGAGAGAGAGACGGAGAGGGGGAGAGGGGGAAAGAGAGAGGGAGAGAGAGAGAAGGAAGGAGAGGGGGGAGAGAGAGAGAGAGAGAGAGAGAAGTGCCTAAGAGCCTGCCATAGAGGTGGGCTGGGCTGGGGTTTGGGGGAAGGAGTTAGGGGATGGTGAGAGAGAAATGGGGGACTTTGATGATGAGAAACGTACACTGGTGGAGGGATGGGTGTTGGACTATTGTGTGACTGCAACCCAATCAGGAACAGCTTTGGTCTATCTCACAGATATTTAATAAAAAATTTAAATTTAAAAAAAAAGAAAAAGGAATGGCGGAGGCAGCTGGAGGGATTGGGTGTGCTGTGTTCAAGAGTCACTCTCAGGACGGGGCTGGAGCAATAGCACAGCGGGTAGGGCGTTTGCCTTGCACGCGGCTGACCCAGGTTCAATTCCCAGCATCCCATATGGTCCCCTGAGCACCACCAGGAGTAATTCCTGAGTGCAGAGCCAGGAGTAACCCCTGAGCATTGCCGGGTGTGACCCAAAAAGAAAAAAAAAGAAAGAAAGAAAGAAAGAAAGAAAGAAAGAAAGAAAGAAAGAAAGAGTCACTCCCAGGAGAGTCTGGGTCCACTTGGTGCCTGAGATGACCAGGTTCAGACTTCCCGCCCTGCGCTCCCCCTCCAGACCGGGAATGAGTGAGTCCTGCAGGGTGGCCACGTAACGCCCGCCCGTAGAGAAACCCCATCTGTTTGCCCAGACCAGCAGGGACCTTTAGAAAACAACCTGAGAGGGCCAAGCGGTAGCACAGCGGGGAGGGTGTTTGCTCTGCATGCGGCCAACCCAGGTTCAATCCCCGGCATCCCATAGGGTCCCACGAGCACCGCCAGGAGAGATTCCTGAGTGCAGAGCCAGGAGGAACCCCTGAGCATCGCCAGGTGGGACCCCAAAAGCCAAAAAATATATACAAAAAAGAAAACAACCTGAGAACGGGAAGGCCTGAGACCCAGGAGGACGGAGGAGGTGGTGTGTGGGTCGCCCTACAGCACCCACATGGCGAAGCCGTCCCTGCAGGTACTGATTTGCACCTGCACAGGCCGGGGTGCAGTTGCAGGGCCAGGCCCCTCCCCCAGGCACCCCACAGCCCTCAGGGTGCTCGTGCCCCTCCTCACATCTCAGAGAAACCGGCCAGTACCCGTGATCAAAAGCAAGAGGAGGCTTCCCGTCAGCAACAGGCAAAGACATTCGAGACACGGAAGTGGACGGGAAAGAAAGAAAATCACAGATTTTGTTGGAGGGACTTGGGGGTGCGCCCCAGCTGTGCGCAGGGCTTACTCCCGGCTCTGGGCTCAAGGATCACCCTTGACCGGGCTCAGGGGGCCCCAGGGGATGCCGGGACCATGTGCCAGGCGGGCGTCCTAAGCCCTGTCTTATCTCTCCGGCCACGGACTCCAGCTTTAGAAATATGGTGCGTGCAGACATGCAGGGTCTGTTGCTAATATTTTTCCTGGCACAAGATAAAGCTGGAATGACGGCTTGCATCTTTCTTTCTTTCTTTCTTTCTTTCTTTCTTTCTTTCTTTCTTTTTTTCTATATATATGCAGAGGGAGAGAGAGAGATCTCACATACTCATGGTGGGGAGGGAAGAGAGGAAGGGATGGAGGGAAGGAGGGATGGAGGGATGGAAGGACAGAGGGACGGAGGGATGGAGGGAAGGAGGGATGGAGGCAAGGAGGAACAGAGGGTTGGAGGGAAGGAGGGATGGAGGGAAGGAGGAAAGGAGGGATGGAGTGACGAAGGGATGGAGGGAAGGAGGGATGGAGGGATGAGGGAAGGAGAGAAGGAGGGATGGACGGATGAACGGATAGAGGGATGGAGGGAAGGAGGGATGGAGGGATGGAGGGAAGGAGGGATGGAGGGAAGGAGGAAAGGAGGGATGGAGTGACGAAGGGATGGAGGGAAGGAGGGATGGAGGGATGAGGGAAGGAGAGAAGGAGGGATGGACGGATGAACGGATAGAGGGATGGAGGGAAGGAGGGATGGAGGGATGGAGGGAAGGAGGGATGGAGGGAAGGAGGAAAGGAGGGATGGAGTGACGAAGGGATGGAGGGAAGGAGGGATGGAGGGATGAGGGAAGGAGAGAAGGAGGGATGGACGGATGAACGGATAGAGGGATGGAGGGAAGGAGGGATGGAGGGATGGAGGGAAGGAGGGATGGAGGGATGGAGGGAAGGAGGGATGGAGGGATGGAGGGATGGAGAGACAGAGGGATGAGGAGGAATTTTTTTCAGGCAGTTGATGCCAGAACCCCTCTAGAGCGTGGCCTGGTGAGTCACTGGAGCAAAGGAGGATGCCAGGGCTGTGCCCAGCAAATATTCCCCGGGCAGCAGTTGGACAACTGGGCGCCAGCTGGGCCGAGCAGCTGTGTGCCGTGTGCTCGCCTGGCAGGCGCAGGGCGAGACCTTTGTCCCAAGAATTCAGGTCACCTTGGGCCAGGGAGAAGGCTCAAGGGCTGGCACCCGTGTCTGCCCCAGGTTCGATCCCCAGCACCCCACGGTCCTCTGCACTCCCCCAGGATGACCCCAGGGGCCCCTAGCACTTCTAAGGGGAGCATTGTGGGTCTGGGGGCCCACAAGCCCTGCTTTGAAAGCCCCCGAGCCCCCAAAGGCCGAGTGTACTCAGTGTCCGGCCCGTCTCCACGCGGCCCCAGGGTATAAAGCTGTGTCTGTGCAGTGAGGGGCAGGTTGGAGGCGGCACCTGTGGGTGATTTCAGGGGTGCCCTTGTCCTGTGAGGCCCCTCTTGCGATTATTTTGCTTGTGGAAGCTGGAAACCGGGCCCTGCCCGCCCCCTCACAGAAACCCCACCAGGTGGCGGTTCTGTCCCCACTTCAGAGCCTCTTGGGGGGCTGGGAAGGGGGTTCATCTGGATGAGGGGTTCCCCAGGACTCACCGTATAGATGGACTCGGCTGGGGGCTGCTTGGAACTGCTGGCAGGGTGGGGGTCCGGCCACTTCCGGGCGGGGGGCTTCTGCAGAACCTTCACCTGCTTCTGGGGGGCACAGAGGCAGGGCTGTGGGGCAGAGGGCTCCGTGCCCTCCCCCTGCCCACACACCACGGGGGGACCCTGTCCCTAGCCTCCGCCCCCACACTCAGGGGCACACGGCCCCCAGGGGGCAGGAAGACTCAGGGGGGACCCAACCACAGGTGGAGGGGGCCGGACTGGACACACGGACACACACTCCTTCAACAACCCCCTCCAAGTCCCTGCAGAGACCACTACATTAAACGCGCCCCCCGCACCCCCCCCCAACTGCGGGGCTTGGGAGGGAGCAAAGCATGCTGGGATGTGTCAGATCCTGCAGGGACCCAGCAGGGCCCCCCTCAGGAGGGTGACCATCATCCGTGCCCTGGTGTGGGGTGCAGTGAGGATGAAGAGGGGTCGGCCGCGGCTGGGAGGGCCTCTCCCCGGAAGCCTGGGTGAGACCCTGCTGCCTGCAGTGGGCTGCCACCGGCCAGACCCTCGCCTGCTTCTTTGCAGCCCTGGGGTCACCAGGCTCTCAGCCTGCTCCCCCCTTACCCCAGCAAGCATCCCCTCCCCCACACTGCAGCTCCTCCCCTCACAAACTCTCTCCTCACCCCAGGGCACCCCGCCATCCTCACAGGGCCCCCTTCTTCCACGGCTAAAATCAGCAAGCACGCCTGCCTCATGCGTGTCAGGTTTGATCCCTGGCACCCCGCCCCCGCCCCCCAGCACCGCCAGAAGTAATTCCTGAGTGCAGAGCCAGGAGTGAGTGACCCCTGAGCACAGGCCGGTGTGACCCTGAAAGCAAAAACAAAACCAGAAAACCAAATCCAGACAAAACGAAAAAAGCAGGGCTGGAGTGATAGCACAGGGGGAAGGGCGTTTGCCTTGAACACGACCGACCCGGGTTCGATGCCCAGCATCCCATAGGGTCCCCCGAGTACCGCCAGGAGTGATTCCTGAGTGCAGAGCCAGGAGGAACCCCTTTGCATTTCTGGGTGTGACCCAAAAAGAAAAAAAAAGAAAGAAAGAAAAGAAAAAGAAAAAAAGCAGACAGCAAGCCTGGCACTTGGGCCAGAGCGACAGGCCATCAGGGAGGGCCCCGCGTGACGGCTGGCCAGGCTCGGTCCCTGGCATCCCTGTAATTGGTCCCCTGAGCCCGGCCAGGAGTGATCCGAGTGCAGAGCTAGGATCAAATAAGCCCTGAGCACAGCTGGACTGCTGGCTGTGGCCCCTACCCCAGGTTTTTTGTTTTTTAATATGCCCAGCAAATTCCTCTCCTCTTTATCCCCTTAAACCAGCCGGCCCCCCGGCCCCCCAGTCCCTGCCCCCCACCCCCAACCCCTGCTCCTTCCTTCCCTTGCTTCCTTCCACCAAGTCAGAGGCTTCTTCGGGTCAATTTGCTCCTCGCTCTAAGCCCAGGCCCCAGCACCCGGGGAGGGGATCGGGCTTCTGTGCGTGTCCGTGAGTGAGGAGGGTACGGCCCACTCCCTGCTTTGGGCCCTGGTGGTCCGGGGTGCTCACCGGACCTCAGCTGACTGGGCTGTCCCCAGGTTCAGCGACTCCTGCCCCCCGTCCAGGAGTCCTGAGAGCCCCAGGGTCATCTTGCCCCCACCCCATAGCCTTGGAGGCCCGAGCACCCGCTGGGCACTGCCTCCCTCCACTCGGGAATGGAGATGGTGCCCCTCACTGCCTGGCAGGGGTGCTGGGTTCAGGGGGGCCCACGGAGAAGCCCCTGCCCCAGTGGGTGCCAGAGAACAGGACTGAGTCTCTCCAGCCTGCTCAAGCCTCTGCACGCCTACTGTGGCCCCCACATGCCCACTGCAAACCCCCCATATCCACTGTGGCCCCCACATGCCCACTGCTGCTCGCCAGGCTTGCTGGGGTGCTGAGGGCACCCCCTCATTTCCCAGAGTTGCCCAGCAGGAGGAGGAGGCCTTGTTCTTGTCCAGGGAGTGGCCTGGTGCTCAGGGGCCACAGAAAACGCTTCTCCCTTAAGCCGGGCATTTAGGGGCAGGAAATGTGCACTGGTGAAGGGACAGGTGTTGGGACACTGTATGACTGACACGGGAACTGTGTATCTCACGGTGACTCAAATAAAAAGAAGCTTCTCCCTTTGCTGCCTGTGGGTGCGGGACATCCAGGGCCAGAGACCTAGCAGGGGCAGAGACCCAGCAGGGGGACCCCTCAGACACAGGCGCTGGGAACCCAGGCCCCGGGGCAGGCGCCAGAACCCTAGTCCTGTCCAGCCTGTGTGCAGGGACATCAGGCCTGCCGCAACGGACGGGGTCGTGTTGTGAGGGGCAGGGACTCAGAGGGGTAAGGGACAAGAAGGGCGGGAACAGAGGGGGGGCGAGAACTCAAAGGGGGCGGGGCCCCAGAGTGGTGGGAACGCAGGTGGCGGGGCCTGGAGGGGTGTGGCTCAGAGGGGGCGTGTCATGAGGTGGGGCCTCAGAGGGGCATGGATTCAATGGGCGGGGCCTATAGGGGCGGGGCCTCAGGGGACATGTATATAGTGGGCGGGGCCTCGGAGGGGCGGGGCCTCGGAGGGGTGGGGCCTCAGAGGGGCAGGTCGTGGGCTGGTCTCAGTGTGGGCGTGGATACAATGGGCGGGGCCTCGTGGGGGCGGGGCCTCATATGGGCGGGGCCTCAGGCAGGCCTCGGGGCGGGGCCTCGGAGGGGCGGGTCTTGGGGCGGGCAGGTGCCCGTTACCTTCCTCCAGAGCAGAGCGGCTGTGCCCAGGACACTCAGGAGCATGAGGATGCCAAGGAAGCAAAAGAGCAGGAGCTTCTGGGGGTGGTGCGGGGGCTCTTGGTACCCCGAATCTAGCAGAAGGGCAGGGAAGCACAGTGATTAGTCAGCTGGGAGAGGTTGGGGTACGCCCCACCCCAGACCCCCAAATCTCAGCATCCTCCTGGACCCAGACCCACTTACAACTCTCCGCTCCCCAGGAGAGCCCCCGATCTCTGTGACTCAGGTGCCCTTCCCTCGCCAGCTAAGCCCCGCCAGGACCCTCACTCAGGGGCAGGCCCCAGCTCCGGGGAGGCCCCGGCTTCCGGTGAGGGATTTCAGAGAGCCGTCCCCTGCTGGACCGTGTCTGCAGAGACCAGACGGGCAGTCTGGGGCCAGAGGCCAGGTGGGGCTGGCCTGCAGGTCCTGAAGGGCAGAGCCTCACCCTCTGCCCGTTCACCTACCCACCGTCCACCCACCCACTCATCCACCTGTCCATCCATCTCTCCTTCCCTCCCCTCTCTCCACCCGTCTGTCTGTTCATCCATCATCTCCCGCTCTCCTTGCCTTCATCTCACCATCCGGCTGGCAGAGCTCTGCAGTGTGCCAACCAGGTGCCAGGATACAGTTTGTCTTGTGTCCCAGGGCACATTCCATGACCAGCACACGTGAAGGGGCTCAGTCACCCCCCGCCAAAAGTCCCGGACAGCCTGGCCAGGTCCCCGGCACCCCCCCCACCCCTGTGTGCTGCCCTGAGCCCCTCACTCCCCTCCGGCCCCACCCCTCCATAGGAACCCGGGGAAGCAGTTGCATAAGGCTTGGCCTGGCGTCACTTCCTGGCAAGTGGCTGACCTGGGATCCAAACTCGGGCCCTTGGGGGCCTGGAGCTCAGCTGCTCCTGGTGGGAGTCAGAATCAGCTCAGAGAATGGGCTTGCTGGGTTTACTGGTGGTGCCGGGACCAAGATCCGCATCTAGTGCATGACAGTATGTGCTTTCTCGCCGAGCCTCCTCCCGGGCGAAGCTGGGCTTCGCTTAAATGCTGGGGTGTCCTCACTCCTTTGAGTCGATGTTGGAAACTAGGATTCTGTCCTCAGAAAGAGCTCAGTGCTCGAGTCCACTCCCCGCCATGGGTGGCAAATGGACCACCCACCAGCCACTGGGAGTCTGTTCTTTTTTTTTTTTTCTCTCTTTTGGGTCACACCTGGTGATGCTCAGGGGTTACTCCTGGCTTTGCATTCAGGAATCACTCCTGGCAGTGCTCGGGGGACCATATGGGATGCTGAGAATCGAACCCAGGTTGGCCAGCATGCAAGGCCAATGCCCTCCCTGCTGTGCTATCGCTCCAGCCCGCTCCAGCCCCCTGAGTGTCCTGAGGGGCGGCGTGGCGGCCCTTTCTCTGCTGCAGGGCCCGCAGAGGATGCCTCACCTCGGACTAGGATGAACGTGCCGTTACCCGTGGCTGACTGTGAGCCCCAGAGCACGGAGCAGTAGTAGGTGCCGGTGGCCGCGGCACTGGACAGCGAGGGGGTGACCGAACATGTGAGCGTGGCCGTCTGGTTCTCAGTGCCCGAGCCGGGCTTGCAGTTCGTGCCCCGCGTGGAGCTGCGCCGGCCCTGCACGTCCGTGTAAAAGTAGCTGACTTGGAAGTTCTTGAACGGCGGACTGTACTTGTAGGAGATTCTGCAGACGAAGGTCACCGCTCTGTAGGCCAGAGACACCATAATCGGGGGCCCCGTGTGCGTCACCGACAGCCCTCCTGCGGGGAAGGCAAAGGGGACAGGTGGAGCTCCGGCCCTCCCAGCTGCCCGCACGCTGAGCACACCCAGCACCTAGCACCCAGCACCCAGCACCCCGCAGTGCTCAGGGCTGACTCCTGGCTCTGTGCTCAATTGTGCAGAAGTGCCTGGATTCAAACCCTGGCCAGCCTCAAGCCAAGCCAAGCCAGTGCCTGGCGGTTCTCTGCGCCCTCCCTCCAGCCCGGGACACCGTTTCCCAGGAAGTGACCGCGGGTTAGAGTGGCCTCCGGTGCTCCATCTCTCGCCACCTCTGGAAGAGACGGTGCCCCCTGCCCAGCCCCTCACCCCCAACCCTTCCTTCCCAAAGGCCCTGAGACCACCAATGGTTGATGGTCGAAGCCCAGGTCTGAGAAGGTGGAACCCCGCAGGTGACCAGTGAGAAATCTAGAGGCAGGAAACAAAATTGAGAAATCCTGGTCACGGGCAGGGATGGGCGGGACTATGCAGGGGTGGGGGCAAAATTCGTGGGGTGAAGAGTCGTGGGGCCTGACGGAACCCCGGATCTCCCCTCACACACAGGTTCCCTCACTGTTGCTCCCCCGTGGAAGGATGCACTGAGAGGCAGGGGCCCTGTCTTTTCTTTCTTTTTTTCTTTTTTTCGCTTTTTGGGTCACACCCAGCAATGCACAGGGCTTCCTCCTGGCTCTGCACTCAGGAATTACTCCTGGCGGTGCTCAGGGAACCATATGGGATGCCGGGGATCGAACCCTACCCGCTGTGCTATCTCTCCAACCCCTTTCTTTTTTTTTCTTTTCTTTTTTTTTTCTTTTTGGATCACACCCAGCGATGCACCGGGGTTACTCCTGGCTCTGCTCTGCACTTAGGAATTACTCCTAGCGGTGCTCAGGGGACGCTATGGGATGCTGGGAATTGAACCGAACCCGGGTCTGCCGCGTGCAAGGCAAGTGCCCTCCACACTGTGCTATCGCTCCAGCCCCCCAGGGACCCTTTTAAAGGCAATCCTGCCCCTCCTCCCGGCCCCCCGCCCCCAGCTAGGAAACCGGTTTGAAGATCCCAAAACAGGCATCAGAGCTGGGCTGGAGCGCCCCCCCCCAACAAACACACACACACACACACACACACACACACACACACACACACCTTCCTCCCACCGCTGGGTGTGACCCATAAACAGACAAAGAAGAAGGAAAGTCTCCAGGACAGGAGCCTCTGGGCCGCTGGTGAGATGGGGAGGGGGGGCAGGGCGTGGGGGAGGGTCTTTGGGACACAGCAGTGCCCTGACCCTCGGTCTGCCCCCGCCCCACCAGCCCCCGCTGACAGCTCTGAACGGAGCCCCCAGCCCTCCCCGGGCAGCGAGGAGCAGCAGGAACACGCAGGCCGGGTTGTTAATGGGGAGAAGATGGAGCGTCTGAGGCGCTCGTGGGAGCTGCAAGATTTATTCTGTGGGAGGAAGTGAGGGGGGGCGGCCGCGCCCGAGCGCCGACTTGGCAGGCGGCCAGATTCCCGCTCCGCTCCCTCGCCCGAGCGCCAGGGCCCGGCCAGGGCCAGGGCCGGGACGGGCCACCCTGCTCATCCCCCCACGGCAGGACGGGGGACCCATGGACTGGCCCCTGGGCCTCAGGTGGGCAGGATGAAGTGGGGTGAACATCACCCCCACCCCCACTGCCCCCCCGTCCTTCCCCACCCTGGAACCAGCCCATCTTCTTCCACGCCCAGCCAGCTCTGCTCGGAGACAGTGTGAGGTGCTCAGGGCAGACTCCTGGCTCTGTGCTCTGGGCTGACTCCTGGCTCTGTGCTCAGGGATGACTCCTGGCTCTGTGCTCAAGGATGACTCCTGGCTCTGTGCTCAGGGCTGACTCCTGGCTCTGTACTCAGGGCTGACTCCTGGCTCTGTACTCAGGGATCACTCCTGGCTCTGTGCTCAGGGCTGACTCCTGGCTCTGTGCTTGGGGCTCACTCCTGGCTCTGTGCTCAGGGATGACTCCTGGCTCTGTGCTCAGGGCTGACTCCTGGCTCTGTGCTTGGGGCTCACTCCTGGTTCTGTGCTCGGGGATGACTCCTGGCTCTGTGCTCAGGGATGACTCCTGGCTCTGTACTCAGGGATCACTCTTGGCTCTGTGCTCAGGGATCACCCTTGGCTCTGTGCTCAGGGCTCACTCCTGGCTCTGTGCTTGGGGCTCACTCCTGACTCTGTGCTCAGGGATGACTCCTGGCTCTGTGCTCGGGTTTGACTCCTGGCTCTGTGCTCAGGGATGACTCCTGGCTCTGTGCTCGGGTTTGACTCCTGGCTCTGTGCTCAGGACTCACTTCTGCCAGGGCTCAGGGGACCGTCCGGGGTGCTAGGGATGGAACCCGGATCAGCTGTGTGCCAGGCCAGAGCCCTTCCATACCAGGGCTCCAGGCCTTGGTTTGAGGTTAAATTTATTTGCTGTTTGTTGATTCCCGAAGGTTGGGGCCATGGCCGGCAGTTCTCAGGGGCTGCTCCTGGCTCTGTGCTCAGGAGCACCCTCTGGCAGTGCCCAGGGGACCATCTGCGATGCCAGGAGATTCCATCCAAGGTGCAAGCTGGCATGGCCGCCCGCAGGGCAAGCGCCTCCCTTTTCCACTGCCCAGGCTGCTGCAGTGGCAGTTTGACTGCGAGCCGGGTGCAGCTCCCAGGGCAACCCAGGTCAGCGCCTGTGCCCTCCCGGGTCAGACTCTGAGCCCCACCAGTGCCCAAGAAGGTGCCCCTCGGGGCCTGGCCAGACCAGAGGACACAGACCCGCTGCCAGCAGGCGGAAGCCCTGCCCAGCACTGTCTGTGGACGCGCTGGCACCTGTCCGGCTCGCAGCCTGCTTGCTGGACTGGACAGCAGGGAGCTCTTGGTGCTGGAGCGATAGCACAGCAGGGAGGGCGTTTGTCTTGCACGCGGCCGACCCGGGTTTGATCCCAGCATTTCATAGCGTCCCCCGAGCACCACCAGGAGTCATTCCTAAGTGCAGAGTCAGGAGTAACCCGCTGTGCATAGCTAGGTGTGACCCAAAAAGAAAAAAAAAAGAAAAAAAAGCAGAGAACTCTTGCTCCAGGCACTTCAAGCTCCTGGGTGGCAGGTTAGGGGGTGACGATCATGAAAATCAGGGTGCCCTCAGCTCCCCTCCCTAGAATGGAGACCCACAGATCACCCAGGGAGCTGCGGCCTGCCGGAGCCAGACGAGGGAGCCCCCACCCCCCAACGCTGCACAGCTGGGGCTTCAGGGCTCCTCGCTGTCAATGCGCCTTCCTGAGTGTCAGCAGAAGAGCAGGGGAGTTGTACAAGGCACGGGCACCCTGGTGGGCACGCACCCAGCTGCTCAGGGAGCCAGAGAGTACCTATGAGCAGAACAAGGCCCTGCCGCCACCATCAGACTAGCTCCCCCTGCCACCACCATCAGACTGGCTCCCCCTGCCACCACCATCAGACTGGCTCCCCCTGCCACCACCATCAGACTGGCTCCCCCTGCCACCACCATCAGACTGGCTCCCCCTGCCACTACCATCAGACTGGCTCCCCCTGCCACCACCATCAGACTGGCTCCCCCTGCCACCACCATCAGACTGGCTCCCCCTGCCACCACCATCAGACTGGCTCCCCCTGCCACCACCATCAGACTGGCTCCCCCTGCCACCACCATCAGACTAGCTCCCCCCCTACCGCCACCATCAGACTAACTGTCCCTGTCAGGCCCACAAGTCCCCATTACAGAGGCCTCCATGTAGGAGGGGACATTCCCACAGCAGCTCCACAGCCACCACCTTATCTCACCTCCGGATCCCAGTTCTGTGTGGCCCAGACGTGTCCTAAGCTCTCAGAAAAGGGCTGGTTACTGGGTTTTTTGAGGGAAAAAAAAGGGGGGGGCAAGTCACCCAGACCTGGGCACTTTCTGCCTCCCAGGAAGGGGCTCGGGGGCCTGGAGTGATAGTACAGAGGGGAGGGCACTAGCCTTGCACATAGCCAACCTAGATTTGATCCTATATGATCCCCTGAGCCCCACCAGGAGTGAGCTCTGAGCACAGAGCCAGGAGCCATCCCTGAGCACAGAACCAGGAGTCAGCCCCAAGCACAGAGCCTGGAGTTAGCCCTGAGCACAGAGCCAGGAGTCAGCCCCAAGCACAGAGCCAGGAGTGAACCCTGAGCACAGAGCCTAGAATCAGCCCTGAGCACAGAGCCTGGAATCAGCCTTGAGCACAGAGCCCTGAATCAGCCCTGAGCACAGAGCCTGAAGTCAGCCCTGAGCACAGAGCTGGGAGTCAAGCCCTGAGCACAGAGCCAGGAGTTGACCCTGAGCACAGAGCCAGGAGTCAGCCCAGAGCACAGAGCCAGGAGTGAGCTCTGAGCACAGAGCCAGGACTGAGCCCTGGCCCTTGAGCACTGCTGAGTGTGGCTCTCAATCCAGAAATTCTTTTCAAAAAATAAGGGGGGTTGCTAATACCGAGGCTGAGGGGTTGGGGGGAGCAGGGGGGGCAGGTGCCCCAGGGAACCCCCGTCACGCTGAGGCATGTACCCACCCGAGGGGCCGGCAAAGAGGCCTGTGTGGGAGGGGTGTGTGGGGGAGGTCGGGGGGCTGCTGTGGGACCCGGGCCTAGAATGTGGCCCCCTCTGGGCAGTGCCCCAATTTGCTCCTCAAACATTGGTTCCCCAGGCCCGTCCTATGCCCCTTCATGGGGAAGATTCCAGAAACCAAGGAAGGGTCCAGCAGGAGGGGGCTGGCTATTCCCGCCAGCCTCCCAGCTGCGAACACTTGGGATGGGGCGGCCACAGGAAGAGGGGGGTCAGGGGCGGAGGCACCCCACAGCTGTTTTGGGGGAAAAGGCTGGACTTGGGGCCACGGAAATGCGGGGTTGGGGGTGACGGCACAAGTTTCCAGGGGGGACAGGACAGACAAGAGAGTCAGCAATGCCCCCGCCCACTGCCAGGGTCCCACCCCGGCCACTGCCTTAAACCCACAGTGTCTGCCGCCAGTGAGGGGTCCCCCAGTTGGGAGCCTGCACCCCTCACTTCCATCCCGGCTGATCTCAGTGTTTTGCTCCCCAAAGATCTCAACTCCCCAGCAAACACACACACACACACACACACACACACACACACACACACACACACAATCTGCACCTCTGGGGAAACTCCAGCGCGCCTCTCAGGGGCTGCAAACACCAGCCTTGTCAGCATGAGCCCGTGGTTCGAACCCCTGGTGCTGCTCACGTGCTCCCTGGAGCTCTGTTGTCTGGGACCCCCAAGCACCAGAACGAGGGTGGGCACTGCCCCTGCCCCTGCGAGCACCATAGTCAGGGCGTGTGTGAGCCCCACCAGCCCCGCGAAGGGGGGAGCCAAGGTCGGATATGAAGGCAGGGGCGCCGAAGAGAGCCCGGAGGACCAGAGAGATGCCCCGCAGTGACCAACCGCAGGAGCAGCCCCTGAGCACCCCCAAAATAAAAATCAAAATGATGGTTTATAAGAGATTTGTGCTCTCCTCTCTCTGCAGCCACCACCATGCCGAAACCACCCTCCACACGCATGAAGGTACCGGCAGAGGAACAAAGGCATGCGGGTCCCGGGGCTGAGATCTCCAAGTCTGCTCGGATCGGGGCCAAGCATCCTCCACCCAGATCCTCCATCTTCCAGTAGGCGGGGGTCACACCCACCAACTGGCCCCCTGGCGCCGTGTAATCCCATCAACGGCCAAGACTCAGAGACTATAAAATCAGCTCCCAGACCATAACTGCGCGACATCTTATTATCTCATTCTTGCTTTGGACAACCTGGCAGGCTACCGAATGTAACCTGCCCACACGACAGAGTCTGGCAAACTCCCCGTGGCGTACCCAATATGCCAAATACCAGTAACAATGATGGGTCTCATTCTCCTAACCCTGAAAGAGCCTTGAATATGGCACTTTTTAAAAAAATCTCAGGGCTGGGACGAAGGAGATGTTACTGGGGCCTGCTCGAGGCAATCGACGAACAACAGGATGGTCATGATCGTCGTGATCGTGATGTTACTTTTTCTCTCTCTCTCTCTTTTTTTTAAATTTCTTTTGGTTTTGAGGCTACCCTGGCCGTGCTCAGGGCTTGCTCCTGGCTCTGCTCTCAGGAACCACACCTGGTGGGTCTTGGATGACCCTATGGGGTGCAGGGGATCAAACCAAGTGCCCCACCCGCTGCACTGTTGCTCTGGCCCTTCAGCATTTTGTTTTATTTATTTATTTTGCTTTTTGGGTCACACCCAGCGATGCACAGGGGTTCCTTCTGGCTCTGCACTCAGGAGTTACTCCTGGCGGTGCTTGGGGGACCCTATGGGATGCTGGGAATCGAACCCAGGTTGGCTGCGTGCAAGGCAAACGCCCTACCAGCTGTACTATCGCTCCAGCCCCTTGAGGGGTATTTGAGAAGTAAACCCAACTCCCTAGTGCTGGGAAGGCCAGCCAGAGAACAGCGACGAAGATTGGTTGAAGACCCAAAGGCTCAGCAAGGTGAAGTAAGCGTCCTGAGGTCACACAGCAATCTGTTGACAAGGACAAACTCGAACCCACGGCGTCTGGGCCCAAAGCCCTTGGCGGTGACTCAGGAGACCTGCACTTTGGGCTCAGCCGAGGACCCTGGGGGTGTCGAAAGTCTGCCTAGAGCAGCCGCGAAAACAGGAGAGCAGAACTTGCAGGAAGAGAGCCCAAGTCGTGCCTGCCCGGGTTTGGGCCAGAGAGGAGAGCCGGGCTGGGGCAGAGGGTCGGGTTGGGCCAGCTGCCCCCCAGGCCCTCCCAGGCCCATGGCACTGGCCCGCGGCTCTAAGCCCCTCGTCACTGCTGGGTCTGGGCTCCAAGGTCTGGGCAGGGCCAAGAGGCGGCAGGGACTTTTTCTGCTTGCGAAATTGCCAAAGGGGAGTTTCTCTTTTTCTGCCGCAATACTGGGGGGACGGGCGGGGCCTTGGCCTTTGCTGAGGGGGGCGGGGGGGGCGGTTACAAAAGTTCTCACCACAACAACACAACTGCACCCCACAAAGTTCTGAGCCACATGCTCCCCCTGTGGGGCCACGCGCTGAGAGCTCACGGAAACCGGGCGGAACTGTGGGAAGGCTCCTTCCTCCGGCCTCTGCACACCCCCCGCTGGGGAAGTGGGCCCGGAGGGGCTCTGAGAGGCGCTAAGATCCCCCAACCCCATCCATCGGGGCCCCCACATCCCCAGGGAGCAAAACATCTTGGGGGGGGGGGCGGAGCAGAGCAAAAGCCCAGCGGGGAGGGCGTTTGCCTTGCATGCAGCCGACCCGGGTTCGATCCCCGGCATCCCATAGGGTCACCCCCAGCACCACCAGGAGTGATCCCTGAGCGCAGAGCCAGGAGGAAGCCCTGAACACAGCCGGGTGTGACCCAAAAAGCAAAAGCAAACAAACAAACGCTTCAGTGGCCGGACGGACGGACGGACGGGAGGAGAGCACAGCAGGGAGGGCTCCTCCCTCACATGTAGCCCACCCAGCTTCAATACCCCGCACCCCTGCCAGAAGTGACCCCTGAGCATCGCCGGGTGTGGCTCCCAGAATAACACACTTCGGAGGACAAGCCCTTCAGGGGACAGAGGCCCCCCACTCAGGTCCCGGCCAGCGCATGGCCTGAGTTGGAGCCTGGGTTGGAACCCCACTTGTCTACACCCGCAGCCCTCCAAACAGATTAAGGGGGATTTTATTTGGGGGTCACACCCTTCAGTGCTCAGGAAGGTCCCTGAGGTGACCGGGCCGAGGAGACAGTCCCTGTGTCCTGGAGGACGTGGCTGTCCGTCCTGGTGACAATCCTGAACTAACAGACCCACTTAGGGGCGCACCGAGCAGGGTGGGGTCCCCACTGGGCACCTTGGTGAGGCGACATCAGCCCAGCACCATCTCCCGGGTCCCCCCAAAGCTCCAGGAGGCTGCCGGCAACACCCCCCCACACACACGTACCCCCGTACCCACCCCCCAGGATGTGAAGCCGTTCACGCCCCTACCTGCCAGCTGCAGGGTCCCGGGGAGCAGCAGCAGGGCCAGGATGGGGGGGCCCATGGGGGCCGCTGCTTCCTCTGGGGGCCGCGGCGGGCAGGGAGTGTCCGTGGGAGCGGCCGGACTCTCTGCTCCAGCAGGGAACTGCTCTGGCAGGGGCGGGTTCGGGGCGGGGCTGGGGGAGCAGGTGGAAACCCAGGAGCTGGCACCACCGGGAGGGGCTGGTGGATGCCGTGACCCCGTGACCCCAAGGGCCCAGACCCCCCCCCCCACTGCCCCCAAGGCCTCACTCGCTTTTCTCACACAGGCCGACTTCCGTGACCAGGAGCTCCGGCAAAAGCCAGTCACGCAGGGACACTCACTCACTCACTCTCTTCCTGGAGCTCCCAGAGAAGCCCGGCCCCTGCGACCTCCGAACCGCCATAGACCCCTGAGTCCCCCTGAAGAGCCCCTAGATCCCCCAAGGCCCCCCCAGCTCCTCCCCACACTTCCCCTTCCCCAGAAAAACATATCTGCTTCCCCTTCCTGTCCCCGGCCTGTCCCTGTCCCCAGCCCTGCCTCAGCCTGTCCCCAGCCCTGTCCTCCTGTCCCCAGCCTGTCCCCAGCCTGTCCCTGTCCCCAGCCCTGCCTCAGCCCGTCCCCTGCCTTGTCCTCCTGTCCCCAGCCTGTCCCCAACCTGTTCCCATCAAACAGGAGCCCAGCCCTTCTAGGGGGGAAGCCCCAACTGTGTGCCAGGCTCCGGTGCTGGGGAACTTCCTGACGACGTTGCCCTCAGCCGGCTGTGCTCCCCACACCCCCCCCCCAGACCCCATCCTCTCTCTCCACAAATGTCATCCTCCCTCTTTTGCGAAGGAGAAAAGCCTAAGACAGACCTGGGCCGGGCAGGGGCGCGGGGTGCGAGCCCGCCTCTCCCCAGGGCGGGACGGGCCCCCACTCAGCCCTCCGCCTCCTCCCTCTGCCGCTCTGCACTTGAACAAGCAGAGCCAGACCCCCCCCTGCTGCCGCCCCCGGCCCCCAGGGAGCAGCGCGGAGAGGAAGACGGATTGGGGGGGGGCCCGGTGCCTCTGACTGCGGATCCATCACGGTGATGCATGACCGCGCGTGTCACCGCGAGACGCAGATAATCTGCCTCACGCTGGCTGCACGCCTGGGAGGGGAAGTCGTCTTGCCTGTGCCATGGTGACAGGTGGCACGTTAATGCCTTCTGCGCCGAGGGAACCCCGGCAAGACACGGCCCACGGCGGCCCCGGCTCTTCAGCACCACCACCCGCCGGGCCCCCCGAGCCCCCCAGCCCCCACTGTTCCCAGCCAAGTCCCCACCCTGAGCCTGCATCGCGTGGGCGCAGCCCGTACCCAGCTAAGGCGGGAGAAGCAAGGGCTGTGCTCCCCAGGGCTGGCCGGGAACGCGGGCACCGGCATCGAGACTGGCCCTGGCATGGCCCTGATGCCAAGGGGAGAGACTGGACCAGTGCGGGGAGAAGGGGACTCCTAGGTTATCACTGAGTTTCCCGAGATGCCCCAAAATCAACCTCCCCGGGGGTCTCGGAGCCAGGGTGTGGGTAAGCGAGTGGGGTGAGACACAGCGGGAAGGGCGCTGGCCATGCACATGGCCCGGCCGGGCTCCATCCCTGGCTCCCCCTAGGGTCCCCTGAGCACCCCTGAGGTGGCCCCGGGAATGCTGGGAGCCTTCTGCAAAGTCCAACACTTTGGGGAACTGCATTTTCAGCCGGACGTTTTCTCTGCTCATCCACTTGCAGTTCCAGCTGGGGGTTCGAGCCCCAAGGGGAGCAGAAGACACGGACGCTGGTGGCACCCCAGGGGTACCTCAAGGCTCATGGCCCTCCGCCTGGGTGCTCTGCTGAATCAGCAGACGCAAACCCTCCGGGGACAGCACCAATCACAGCCCCATTCGCTGTCCGGTTGTCCAGGCTGTCTGTCCGTCTTTGCAGTTTCCTGGCTGCCTGTTCTCCTCTGGACACGGGTGGAGGGACACAGTAGTAATTTCACGATCCACCTGAGGGCCCAGGGGGACCCCGCTGACCGTTTAGGGCAGACCAAGGCCACTTGGAATGGCCAGCTGAGTGCTGGACAATGTCCTCATTTCTGTCGTTCCCACTACGGGCCGCCACCATGGTCCTTCTCCAGGTGAGACTACCCAGACACAGGGAGGTGATGGTGGACCCCACCTACGGGGACCCCCCCCACCAGAAGCATGTCCAGTGGGAGGGACTATGAGGCCGCCCCCGCCTCCAGTTGCCCTTGAAGGCAGAGTGGAAAAGAAAAGAGGCCTGAAGGACATCCAAGAGGACTTCCTGGAGGAGACGGCCATTCTGCAGGAAAGGAGATGGAGGTGCATGGAGGTACCCGGACACTGGAGCTCTCGGACTGGGACCCCCATTTCCAGCTTAGGCCCACCGGCACTGATTAAGGGCTCAAGGCCGACAGCTCCTCACACTCCAGGGGAGAAAGTTGACCCCAGACAGGACTTCTGGGAGGGGGAGAGGGCAGTGGGGGGCTTTTGTTTCCTGTCTCTCTCCCTTGGCATAGGAAGCAGCTGCAGTGGGAAATGTCCCTTCTCCTGTCCCCAGAGGCCACCTCTGTCCCCCTCACACAGCCCAGCCCAGGAGAGGCCCCTGGAGGCTGAGTCCCCTCCCGAGTCCCCCCTGCACCGGATAAGCTCCTGGCTTTCTCCCACCACCACTCTCCAAGGTAGACACCCCTCCCCAACCGCACAGAGGCAGCAACCTGCCCAGACTTCACTTCACTGTGGGCAGCTCCGGCCCCCATGCCCTGGCCCCCTACCCCCTTGCCTGGCAGTGAGCTCCCCGTCACTGGAGGTGTGCAAGTGCTCCCAGGGGCCACACCACTCTGCCGTGTGCCGGGATGTTCCGGATGGGCTGCAAGCCTGGCTGGGTCCCTCCCTGGCCCCTTCTCCCATCCAGCTGCCCGGCTTCCTGCCCGTCCACTTAGCCTTCTCTCAGCTGGACACGGTCTAAAGGCTGCTGGCCCGCCGCCCGCCCTGCCTCCCCGGAGCAGCTGCTCTCAACAGAGGAAGAACAAGCCCAGAAAGCGGCGGCCACCTGCCTGTGACCACACAGCTCGACCCCCGTGCCTGCTCCTTTCATCACCCGGCGGCCCCTGCCTCCCCGCGCGGCCCTCCCTGCAGGGCCGGGGTTCTAACCCCCGTCTGGCAGGTTCAGATCCTGAGTGAAGCGGAGCACGGCCCCGGCAGGAGGTCGCAGGGGGGGATCTGGCTCTCGAGGCCCGAGCCGGGTTCTCCCTTGGCCGCGTGCCCAGAGCTGGCCCAGCTCGCGAAGTGCCAGCGCCCCCTGCCCGGCTCCTGCCGCAGCACCTCCCACCCGAGACCTGGAAAGAGGAAGACAGGAAACAAAGGTAGCCCCGTTTCCTGCACACGGACCCACGTCCACACCGCGGGAGTCCTCGGGGCTCCGTACCCAAGCCCGGGCTCAGACCCGAATCGTTGCAGGCCAGAGTCACGAGGGTCCTGTGCCAACGGCCCCTCTGCTCCCCCCTGACCAGCCCAGGGGCCCCCCAGGTTGTCTCGTGCCCGTGGCGCCCCCTGGTGGCTATTGCAAGGACACCCTCCCCCAGGATCACTCCCCCCCCCAGGGTGTGTGTGTGTGTGTGTGTGTGTGTGTGTGTGTGTGTGTGTAAAATTAAACCCCAATGGAGCAGCGGTGCTGGGGTGGGGGGCACGTGGAAAGGAGCAGGTAGGTGACAGTGATGGTCGGACCCCCACCCTTCCCCGCACGCCCACCTAACCTCCCCTCCTCCTGCAGAGATCTGTTCTGCTCTGAGAAGCTGCTTGGTTGTGAATGAACCTGTTTGGGGCCACATCGGGGCTGACTCCCGGCTCTGCTCAGGGATCTCTCCTGGCAGGGGTTGGGGGGTCACATGGAGTGCCGGGGATCAAACGCGGACAGCTACATGCACGGTAGGTACCTCCCCACGTCCCCCGGCCCCCACCATCTCTCCAGCACGCGGAATAAACTCTGGGCCTCCCGCCAGAGCCCTTACTGGTCCCCTCCCCCCAGTGGTAACTGCACCCCCTCACCCCCACCCTGCAGTGACTCAGCCAATAAACGCAGCTAAACCCCGCCCGGCCTGCTCTGTGGTTCTCTGGGGCAGGCCTGTGTGCACGTGTGGTCAGTTATTACGCAGATTCAGGCCCCTCCAACCTCTCAGCTCTCTGAGGCTTTGGGGAAAGAGGTTTCTGCATTTTCAAGGATGGGCTCTGCTGCTCAAAGGAACTGCCTGGGGGGCTGGGCAGCCTGGAGGAGCCTGTGAGGGGAGGGACCTCCCTTCATGCTCCCTTCTCCTCTCCCTCCTCCCATTTCTCCCTCCCATCTTCTTCCTGTTCTCCCTCCTCCCACTTCCTCCTCCCCATCTCCCTCCCATTCTTTTCCTGTTCTCCCTCGTCTCACTTCCTCCTCTCTTTCCTCCCATCCTCTTCCTGTTCTCCCTAATCCCTCCTCACTCCTCTTCCTGATCACCCTCCTCCCACTCCCTCCTCCCCCTCCCATCCTCTTCCTGATCTCCCTCCTCCCACTCCCTCCTCCCCCTCCCATCCTCTTCCTGATCTCCCTCCTCCCACTCCCTCCTCCCCCTCCCATCCTCTTCCTGATCTCCCTCCTCCCACTCCCTCCTACCCATCCCCCATCCTCTACCTGATCTCCCTCCTTCCACTCCCTCCTCCCCATCTCCCTCCCATTCTTTTCCTGTTCTCCCTCCTCCCACTTCCTCCTCCCTTTCCTCCCATCCTCTTCCTGTTCTCCCTAATCCCTCCTCACTCCTCTACCTGATCTCCCTCCTCCCACTCCCTCCTTCCCATCCCCTATCCTCTACCTGACCTCCCTCCTCCCACTCCCTCCTCCCCCCTCCCATCCTCTTCCTGATCTCCCTCCTCCCACTCCCTCCTCCCCCTCCCATCCTCTTCCTGATCTTCCTCCTCCCACTCCCTCCTCCCCCTCCCATCCTCTTCCTGATCTCCCTCCTCCCACTCCCTCCTCCCCCTCCCATCCTCTTCCTGATCTCCCTCCTCCCACTCCCTCCTCCCCCTCCCATCCTCTTCCTGATCTCCCTCCTCCCA